TTTTTTTTTTTTATTGTAAGTAATCCTGGAATTTTGTAATTATAATGTCTCTGCAACTTTTCAACATGTATATTTTGTCAAAACTGGCAATTAGAAAGCTATCGGTCTCCACCCACCTGAAAATACAATTAAATTTTAACTCTAATGTTTTTAATTCATAGTGAACAACTCAGTGTTAATTTTCTGTATTTTATCCTTCTATTAAAGTTTTAGTCTTTATTCTAACTCGATGTTTTGCCTAAAAGTATCACTCTCTGAACAACTAATTTATCTCTTAATGGATTAAAATACATTGGCAAGTGGCATAGGGATCCTTTCTAAAACACACATGGGCTCTTCCCGTCTAAAGTTTCCTACAGAGGACTTGGATTTAAAAATCAGGCTCACCGTATGCCTCACATACTGCCCTCAGAGCAGAAGCTGTTTCCTGCGTAGTCCAGCTCCTCAGGAAGGACAGATTTCTCCAGGGTCAGAGCTATCGGAGCAGCTTTAGTCAAGTTGAGCGGCAGCAGCTGATGTGGGGGAGAGGTATATGCCCCTGCCTTATCAGTTGGCTGCAAATCTGCTTTCCGTCACATCTTTTTGCTTTTCCCTTAAAAATCTGTTGGATTTTTTTCCTTTTCTTTTCTTTTGTTTAAGATGTGCCTTGTGCTAGTCATCCTCTCTTGTCCCCCTGCAAAGGTGGGAACCGCAGAGGGGTTGTGACTTTTCACTGCTCTTGGAAATGGAGCTGTCACCTGCTCTGTGTGCATGGGGTGTGTTGGGGGTTTTTATCTGAGCTCACCTTGGGAGGCACGGTACACATTGGCAAGCACAGGTCAACGACCAGCCACTTAATGGAAGAGGCACCGGGAGCGACCAAGGGTTGCGTGTGATGTGTGCCGGGATTACAGCAGGGAGGCTGGTTGTTCCTTTTGACTAAAACTCTTATCTGGGCTGCTGTCCTCCCCCCATGAATGGGACGCCATTCCTGCAGCTGAGGGACACATCAGGCATCTTCACTGGCCTTGCTAGGTCCTTTAAATAAATCGTACCCTTTTCCACATGAAATTATTTTCGTTTATTCTCATTACTTTAAATGCTTTAAGCCTTTTTTTTTTTTTTTTTAGGTTTAGCTTGTTATTTTGCATATGTTATGATTTGAAGCTTTTAGATTATTTTCTGCAAGTAGTGCATGCTACACTTGGGCTTAGGACCAACTACCAATTTGTAGCTGCTCACTTTCTGCTTGTTCGAGGAATAAGTTTAGGAGGCTAGACTTTGTTTTTCAAGGAACTCCAAATAAAGACATATGTACTTATTTTATAAATTGCGTGCTTACTTTATTTCTTTATTTACTATTTTCTGAATTGCAGTGGGGGTTTTTTAGTGTAAGCAAACCCTTCTATTCCCTTGCTAGTTGTGTGGTTTCATTATTGGGATAGCAATTTTCAGGTGACATACATCAGTAAATATGTAGAGAATACATCTAGAAGTAAACATGTCTTAAAAAACAAAGGCTAATTCTGAAAGCTACTCAAAGAAAAAATATTGACATGCATCCAGTTATGTGTATGTACACATGTAAGGACATAGGGAGGGAGAAACAGAGAATTCATTTCATTTTTGTGACCAATTTGTTTCCAAACTGCTGAAAAGATTTTGGACAGTTTATGATGAAATTGCGACCTTTGTTCATACACCTACTTTCTGCGGGCCAAGAGAGTGTTAACATGTTTTTCTAAAACTCAGCAGAATGGGAGAGAGGAGTGGATGTCCTGCAATGTGTTCTCAGAGCAAACTCCTGTCTTAATGACACCTGGTCTTCCCTGTTGTTTGCCTCGTGGTTGTTCTCTCCTAAGGAAAGCCAGAGCTGGAAGTTGATTTCCCTGTCTCTTGCTCTTAGCCTTTCCTTTTCTTGAAGTATTTAGAGCTCCTTCAGATATTACCTGTAAAAAGTCTTGAGTGGTCCCATTCATCTCCCTAACACTGTGATGCTGTGTTCGTAGAGTGAGTTCGTCAGAAGGGCTTTGTCCTTTGCAGGCTGGGATTTTCCAGGAATTTCTATGGATTACAGATCACAGCCCGGTCACTCATAAGGGTTTTTCCTATATCACAGACATCTGTATAACTTGGAGCAGTTGCCAGTCCGACTAGAGGAAAACCAGGATGGATTGCCCTGCAGATTACTTCTGTGTTCTGGCGCGGTTCGGTCTTTGACATTTAGTTTATATCACATCTGATTCAGTCAGTTACCCATTTTCATGTACATCTCTCCTTTTTTAAAAAAAAAACCAAAAAAACCCAAAAAAACCCAGAACAACAAAACCCATACAGCAGTGTCATTGCCTGAAACACTGACATTATTTACCTCTGTTAGGAGCTGCATTGCACCCAGCACTTAAAGCCGCGGTCTGTGAAGCTCTTGCTTTCCTAACCTCACGCCCCTAATTCTGGCTGTTTTGCTTGTGTTCTGGTTTTGTGCAGACTAATGGCTGATCGAGTGCTTGTGATTGGCAGTGGAGGCAGAGAGCATGCGCTGGCCTGGAAGTTGGCCCAGTCCCCACATGTAAAACATGTGCTTGTTGCTCCAGGAAATGCAGGAACAGCTGACAATGGAAAAATTTCCAATTCAGGTAAAAACAAAAAATACCAATTTTAAATTTGATAACAAATAAGTTGTTCCATTCATGGATCTGTTAATGTAAAAGGATTATATAATTGCTATCTTTTAAGGTTCCGGACATGTGAGATAGATGATAGCAGTTAAGAAATAAAAATGTCTGAGCAAGACCTTGTGCAACCACCACTCATTTTATATGATCTCAGTTGTGACAGCTAGTTCTTAGGATTCAGGGATGGAGCATGCAGCCAAAACTCCATCTGTCCCATAGCTGCGGTGGTTCCTGCCTCCCAGCAGCCTAGCAGGGTAGGAGTGATGGTTTCTCTTGGTACACCCTGCAGTTCAACAACTGGTTGGTGAACAGCTGAACAGTGCCTGCAGCAGATGCCAGCACCTAAAGTACTAAATTCACTACTAAATTCTCAGAGATGCATTGAAGCCCTGTGATTCTTGCAACCTTTGATGAGAATACTTTCTCACTTGAGATGTTCAACTGTAGGAAAACATTCATTCTTTTGTCTTAGTGACCTTAAGAAGTTAAGATTATTTTCAAATGTTTCTTCGTACTGACTGCCTGTTTTGAGCTTCTAGCTTAACATGTTAAGTTCTGACTGGCTGTAATTGAAATTGTTCTTATTAGTTTTGAGAAATCAAGCTTAAGGTATTTCAAACTAAGCAGCCAAAATTCAGTGCTGCATTTAAAAAAAATATTCTGGTCTAAGGTACTTGCCTGGAGGCGCACAGTGAATCAGTACAAAACCAGGGGTAATTACTCAGAGATTCCTGTCTTGTATCCTTTATATAACAGAATTAGGTACTTTAAACAACCCACTTAAGTTTCCACTTTAAAACACAAGATAACATACAAATTAAAGTTAACATAGTATGCATGTGAATATGAATTATATACATCAATTTTCTGCATTCATGTCTGTGATTAAAATATTCTTTTGTTACCATCTCATGTGGAAACATGAATCCTGTCAGATTCCTGTACAGCAGTTAATTACTGTATTTAATTCTTTTGGAATGCTTAATTACAGGCTGTTTAAATAACTTTGTCCTTAATTTCTTTGACTAGTCACAATATTGTAAGTAGGTTTTTTTATTCTATGTAGTCTCTGAGGAGAGGACCCAAGCAAGAACCTGACAGCAAAGTGATATGTTTCCTTCTCATCCCAGAAAGTCAAACAAAAATTTTTATCCTTGTGCTTAATGGAGTCAATGCCAGTCTGCATGGCCTGCAGAATGTTAATTACAGAATTTTTTCATAAGCAGTGTCTTTTAAAAACTGCTGTGCTTTTCTCTCACCTTGTTATTCCATAAAAAATACTGCACCCTCAACAGTGGAAAATATTTGAGCAGGTATGTAATAATGCTCGGGCCAGGTCCATTAAATCTACCATGTGTACTAAAATCTTTTTTCCTAGACTATGTCCTCACATGTACTTTGTGAGAGAAATCCTCAGCCAACCAGGAGGCAGGAAGAATCTAAGATTTGTGACAAGTTTTATTTTGGTTTTTAAGGAAACAATTTGTCTTACCTGCTCAGGCATTTTAGTCTTACCACTGGGGTCTAGTTTTTAACTCAGGGGAGAAAATTGAAAACAGCTTTACAGAAGCATGTGAGCCCTATTGTATTGTGTGAGCCTGGGCAACAATGCCTGTGAAACTGCTGCCATTGTTTCTGGTATTTTGGCATAATCAAGACTTGGCTCTGGAAGTTCATCCTCCCTTCATGGCTCCTGAGATTGCCTTTAATTAGCATTGCAACTCTGGTTCTCAGATGATTTCTGAAACATGGAGGTGAGCTTAAAATTATAAATAAACTTAAATCCTCCAAACCTTCCCTGTATCAAGTCAAAAAAAGTTTTCATGGTTAATTTGAATCAGTAATTGTTTCTGACAGTACAGACAGATTTAGGTTGAGTGGCTAAATATAGTTTTATATTCAATTTATATTTAATTAGCAGGGCAGTTTTAGTGCCAGAAGCATACAGAATGGCTTGCTGAATCCAGAGATAGATAAATGCATGTCTGTGAATGGACTTTAGCATCCTGACACCTCCTTCCATCCCATTTTAGCTCTCAGTGTAATTTATACTCTTAAGTTTAAGCTCTGGCTTTTAAAACCTTGGTCCAAGGTCCTTCTGTCTGGTTTGAAAGGAATGTTTAGCTGTCATTTTGAGAAATGAAACACAGCTACAAGAATAACCCCTTTCATTTTTCCTGAGGAAAATTATGTTTGGGGGGAAAGTTAAAATTACTTATTAACAGTGTGATTTATTCCTTTCTATTTGTTACTAGGGCATTTTCACACCATGTAAATCTCGTGCTTTATTCACTGTATATCTGCTTTATATCACTAGTATATCTGGCCTGTGGCAAGACAATTTGGGATGAAAAGTACAATCACCTTACAGGCTCATTCCTTTCATTGCTCCCCTTGGCATGGATTAATCTCGTGTGGAACAGGGATCATCCCTCTTGAGTGTCCCACCAGAACTCCCACTCTCTTTGGTCAGGATTTGCTGTTCTCCAGCTGCTTTCACAACACCCCCATGGGACCGAAAGAAAATATTGACCTTTATGTTAATCAGTACTTTAAAGCCAACTGTGTTATACTTTTGGGTTTTGCTCTCTTGTGAGAAGTCATTTGTTATAAATTGCACATGGAAGTCAAAGGCCTTCGCTTCTCCTTACTTAAAAATATTGGTGGAACAAAATAATTGAACTGTTAAATAGGTATCAAGGAGGTAATTTTTATTAGTGTTCTGTCAGGTTTTTTTCCCCCACTCCACCCAAATAGGGCAAATCTATAATGAAAATGTAGGTTTCAGATAGTTGCTTTTATGCCATCTCGTAGGCAGAAATGACGGTTTCTCTTGTGGAAGCAGGCAATTTCTTCATACAGGATACAGGAGTGCAGTGGGCACCAACACAGAATCATGTCCGTTTGTCCAGCAGAAGCTGCTGTAGCACTGTCTCTCCTTTCTTTCTCCTCACTTCCCCATCAACTAGTTGGGACAGACCATCAGCTCCTGGCATGCTTACCAGTACGGCCACTAACAGGAGATCACAGTCAAAACTTGAAGCAAAGTAGTCCAGCTGCAAGGAGGGGCTGTGCTGTGCTGTGCTGTACCGTGCTCCCTTTGCCAGCTTCCTGCCCTGGTGTGTTAATCTCCTCCCCACAGGGGCAGCCAATCCACGCCAGCCCACGCTCACCCTGGTTTTGGCTCTCTCCGGATTCGTGTTCCCATCCTCTGCAGACCTTGGTTTTATTTATTCTTGATAAAAGCAGTGGAATTGCATTGCCTTTGCGTAAATTTTTTATCATGAGACTTGACATTATTGTCTTTCGTGCAAGGTTTTTCTTTTGTTTACACAGTTTTTAGCATTCCAAGTATCATCATATTAAATGTTTGTTTATGGAAAGATAACGGTCCTAAAGACATAAGACCAAATTTCTTTACCCATAATTACAGCACCTACCCTTACTAAGCTCAGCCTAATGTAAGAGAAAGTGTTCAGATTTTCATTTTTTTATGACATCACAGTTTAGTGTGGCAATTTTTATCTGGCACTACAAAAAGAAAGGAAAAAAAAAGAAACTAACAGCCACTTGGTCCTGACCCCTACACCATGCTGGCATGAACATCTGTAAATCTGCATGGTGACCCTACTCAGGGAGTATACTGGCTGAAAATGTTTTGGTTTACTTCTTGTTTTGTCTTGGTTTGGTTTGGGTTTTTTTTTGCTTGTGCCATGCTTTTTGTGCTGGCTAACAGGATGTTCCTAGAGATGAGAACAATTTACTGTATGACAGTGTAGGGGGACCCAAAGCTTTTTTTCTCACCTTCAAGAGCAAAGTAGGTTGACAGTGCATGTCAAAATACAGCCTTCACTTGAGGGGTGTGGTGGTGTGTTTTGGTCCAAGGCTCCTGTGTAAGACTGTGTATTAGTGTATACCTCACTCCTCGCTCTTCCAGATTCACAGTGACCTGCCATTCAGGAATGTGAGACTGGTGGAAATGTTGCTTCAGTGTTCCGTGATAAATAAGTGCTATGCAACAGTAATGAATGCTGTCTTACCGCCCTTTTGTGTCTTTGACAGCTGTTTCAGTCAGCAATCATGCTGCACTTGCCCAGTTCTGCAGAGATCAGGAGATCAGGCTGGTTGTGGTTGGTCCAGAGGTTCCTCTTGCTGCTGGTAAGAGAAAGCAACCTGAAAATCGTAACCTTCATCATTTAGGACGCAGAGTGAATTTTAGTCCCCCTGTTCTGTGCACCACTCAACAGTATCTGCATGTCCACAATGGGAATAGAAACAGATCCTCTGTGACAGTTTCCCTGAAATTCAAGGTTGTGCAGTGATGAGAATTAATTTCTGAAGGCTATTGTGTGAGCAATATAACAGTTAAAAGATCCTTAACTGTTCAGTTTCTTTTTAAGTGCTTAGCCTTAGTAAAAGAGGTACCAAAGTGTTTCCATATAGGAACCTTAACTAGAATTTTGATTTTCCAATGGAGTTTTCGTTTCTTTAAATAGTAGTAATTTGTGACTTGGTAAAAAAAAATACTAACATGTTGATAATTTTTCTGTTTTAAGCTTTTACATGATCAACAATTGTCATATTCACAAAAGACTAATGTCAATGTTTTAGCTAAAAGCTATAATAAAACCAGGGGGATTGTCATCTCTTACCAAATGCAGCAGATCTTCTCAGCCCCAGATACTGCAGGGTTACCTGCTCCTGATTACAGCGAAGAATGCATCTTTTTTACCATCCATCTGGTGAAATAGGCTCTGGTTAGATATATATGGCTTATCATTCCTGACATACTTGTTCCAACAAATAAGTGCATCTGTAGACTTGGACTACGTGACTCCTATAAAACATCTGGTGATTTATAAGATTTTTTTATGTTGTCATTTCTAGGAATTGTTGATGACTTGACAGCAGCTGGAGTAAGGTGCTTTGGTCCAACAGCAAAGGCAGCTCAGCTTGAGTCCAGTAAGAGCTTTAGCAAAGCCTTTTTGGATCGTCATGAGATCCCAACTGCGAGATGGAAATCTTTTACTGATTCTAAAGCAGCATGTAGCTTTATTAACAGGTAAAATTCTTGTCATTTTAGAAATATTTTTACAGCCATGTACAATGTGCTAGGTGTCCAAAACAGACTATCAGATTATTACTAATGTATCGATACTTTTGGCTGTGATAGAACGTCTGTAAAGGTTTTAAAGGGTAATCTGACATGACACTATCACACTGCAATAAGTCTGATAGTTAAGTGGTTCTTATTTACTGCTCTTCAGTGAAAATAAAGTTCAGTGTTCAGTTTACAGGAGAATATAGGACAAGTTTTTGATTTTTTCAAATTGCCTATTGTGGAAACCTAGCTTTCAGCCTGATAGTCATATTTTCAGCCTTCTTTGTACCTTTTCTCCACAAATATAAGTTCTGCATTGGAGACTTACTCAGCAAATTATGATCTACTCATCAGAATACAATCCAGGTGACCCAAAAATGATACAATAATAAATTATTAAAAGGAAAGCAACCTTTCAGAACAGTAATGAAATTCAGTGGTAGGGAAAAAGCAGAAATCCTTTACAGGCATAGCATAACAAGACAAGCCTATTTTTTATTTGTGTGTTATTCAATAAAATAAAACAGTTGCTATGAAAACTGACAATTATTTTGATCTTTCAACTATTGAAATGTTCAAAATGCCTACAAAATGTATTTGCAATACAATGTGTTTACTGTTTAATCTCTCTTCTCTGTCTTTGAAGTGCAAACTTCCCTGCTTTAGTTGTAAAAGCTAGTGGCCTGGCAGCTGGCAAAGGAGTAATTGTGGCTTCAAACAAGGAAGAAGCCTGCAAAGCTGTTGCTGAAATCATGCAGGTGAGTAGAAATGTCATGCACAAATTGAAGGAGTTGTCACACAAAATAAGTTGTTAACCACCTCAGAGTCTCAGCAATATTCTTTATGTCTATGTAGTAGGAATTTGGCTAAAAGACATCAAGTCTTTTACCCATTATTTGAACAACTGTGAAGCTCTGTCATATTTATTGCTTGAGGCAGGGTACTCTTTCTCAGCATGGTTCCCGTAGGCTGAAATAAAATAATTCTTAATGACCCGCAAAATTATCTTGTCAGTGTCAGTTGGTGGTTCTTAATTGCCTAAATATGCAGTCAGTGTTCAAACATTGCATTGGAATATAAAAATATTGCCCCTTTCCAGTGTATTCTATAGAATTGCACTTTCTTAAAAAGGAGAAGTTCAGATTACAGACTTGACAGTCATTGCTATTACTCTTAGTATCATGGGTGCAAACTTCAGAAGGCAGAGCGTGAGGAATTGCTCAGTAAGTCATAAATATCATCTGCAATTTAAAAATATTCAAGCATAAAATCTGCATTTATGTAAGAATAAAGAGAAAAGAGGAGCAAAGATTTTACCATTGCTGACATACCCAGGATGGACAATGGATTAATAGTCTCAAAACCATGCTGCATTTTTCTTGCTGTTTTAAAAATATTTTTTCTTGTTGCATTTTGAGTATTTTAAAATAACTGAAACAGAACTTAAGAGATTATGTTTTTACTGTAGGATAAGACTTTTGGCACAGCTGGGGAAACTGTTGTTGTTGAAGAACTTCTTGAAGGAGAAGAAATTTCTGTAAGTGTGCATCTCACTGTAACACTTTGATTATACCTGTTCTAAACTATTTAGGAAGCGCTGTGTAAGTACCCGTGGCAGGAATGTGTAAGATTTTAGTACTTAAATTAAAAATAGTTATCTGTTTATAAATAAAACTGTATTAATTAAAACCAGCTGTGTTAAGAACCAAACTTCCTGCAGTCTGTTAAAATACTTCAAATTAAATAAAAATAACTCAAACAGTAATCAGCTGTTGCCACATGGAAAAAAAAAATCAAACCTTAGAAATTTAGAGTGTCACTGAGCATGCAGTTCTGTGTCACAATTTCTCTGACAGCATACAGAATAAGGTGTCCCTTCCCTTCCATATTGCTACCTCTTCGCTGCTGTTTGCCATTGATTCATTTACACTAGTTACCTGTTTGTGAAGCTACAACCTAGAGACCTTTTTTAAAATAAATCAACACCACCCACTTGCATGTTTTTTGTGTTCTGGTTTAGAGCCCAGTGCCATTTCAGTCAGTACAAGTAACAGGATGGTGAAGTATAGAGCAAGGCAAGGGGTGGCTGGGAGTAAGGGAGGATGGAGGCTTTCTTTAGTCAGCTTTGCTGATGGAGGGAATATGTTCAACTGCTCATGAGGGAGCAGTAAACTCCTTTGGAGCAAGGGAACAGTCAGCCCAAGACAGGTGTAGGCAGAATCCTCTTTAACCAGTTTCATTGCAGAGAGATTGGAATGGGGAAGTCCACCCGGGGACGAAAGATCTGGAACCAAAGGCTGTTGAATGATTTACACACTTACAACATGCTTACAGTGTTGATTTACTCTGCAGATGTAGAGAGAATAGTTCCTTCATTTTAAGCTGATTCAGCTCCTTTGTTTAAAAAAAGTGTATCTGATTTAATTAGTAGAGTGTGAAGGAGAAAAGGAGAATTAGAGCCTAGGTTTTGAGGTGGCAGGGGAACTTGACACTTGCATCACACACAGAGAACAGCCAAGTACCAGCTCAGGTTCCCAAGTCCTCAATCTGGAATTGACTTATGCTGGATGTTGTGAACATTAATCTTGGAGGTGGTGGTATTTATAAAGTAAGCGATCATTTCCAACTGTTGCCAATCTTTGCATAGTCTGCTTTCCTGCCCAATATGAAGAAAGTAGATGTGCAGATATTGGTCATCCTTATTCTTTCCTGGTTGGCTTTACCTTTTTAGGAACTAAGAGATTATCCAGATCTTCATTCTCTGGTGGAAAATATGTATGCTCTTAAATAGTCCTTAGAATACTATCAGACTTAGTGTAACATAACACAATAATATAAACACACAGTTGAAAGGATTTTTTTTCTGTGATGACTGACAACAATGAAGAAAAAATACCGCTTGCCTCGCCTTTCAAAATAATTCACCTTCTACAAATGGCTGTAGCTTGTAATATATTAATATCTTGGCTTTTTGGGGTTTTGTCGGGGAATCCTCACTTGTTTTTTAGTTAGAGTTATAAAATGTTTTTATGAGTACTGCTGGCAGTAGTCCAGACAGTGAACATCGTCCAGTTACAGAAGATGCCAGCAGGTTTGTTATTATGTAGATATTGAGGATAAAAGCATCTGCTATATAAATAATTTATAAATAATTCAAAAGTATATAGTTTTATCAACAAGGAAAAGGAAATCTTGAAAGGAATGTAAAGCCTTCCTTCTGGGGCAGGGGAGAGGGAAGAAGTAGCTTCCATCATGGAATATTTAAATTTTTTTTAACCTTTTGAGTATTTCTTTCCAGTACAACTAACGATTTTGTAATTTTTTGTATGAAAGTTAGTTTCTGTAGGAAGGTCATATAAACTGAGGCACTGCTTCCTGAGGGAAAAGGGAAATGTTTAGAATACTGTAGTTTGTTTTATCAGGGAGACAGAATTTATACTCCTAAATATTAATTTGCAGCACTGAAAATCATATATATTTGCACATTTTTGCGCTTTACTTTTAATCATACACTGGGGTTTTAATTATGCTCCTTGTTTTCTAGTGCTTATGTTTCACTGATGGCATCACAATTGCTCCCATGCCTCCAGCCCAGGACCACAAGCGATTAATGGATGGAGATGAAGGCCCTAACACTGGAGGGATGGGAGCTTATTCCCCAGCACCTCAGGTAAAAATGTATTGACAAGGAGATGTTTCACTAAAGCTGTACTACAGCTCTAGTATTGAAATAATGTGTGAATTTTTAGTTCCACCATGATGAACAGGAGAGTGAAAGAGTGGGTTCTTGGTGCCTAAAACAGACATAGTCAGTGACGTCCATAGCTTAAATTTGTTTCTCTAAAGCGGATATTTGTACTGAATTACTTTTAATTATAAAGGTGGAAGTGTTATTTCTGCAACCTTGTATTTTAATTTGGCTTTTAAGTGTTATGAAATACTGATTGCTAGAACTAAGTGCTTAAAACCACAATTTTATCTTGAGCCAAACTAAGCTGATGATGAGCTTTAGTTCACTTGCTGTACCTCAAGGTTGTTTGGTTTCTGTTTGGTGAAGAACTATTTGCAAAAGGACTTACTTTGCTTTCTATTCACCCATGTCATGGTCAGAGATTTTTCTTTTTTAAGTTAAAAAAAATGTAGGTTTTGTTCATATAAAAAGCTATTAATCCTGTTTATTGAATAAAATTTGATCATTGATCACTATACTTTCCAACCGTGATTTGTCTTTGGGAGGCCTTATCTAAATGCCAGTATGTCTGTGCAAATGGTTTGTTTTAGTGAAGCCAGCAGGATTACTTGCACGTGTAGATCTAAGCATGGAAAACTGTCTGAAGAAATACAGACTGTTGTTTTAATGCTGTGGTATGTTGTCTGAGGAGAGAGAAAAAAATATGAGCTTTCTGTTGTCTGAATAGTTTTGGAGTGAGCAAGAGAACATCCAAGTGGTCTGGTTGGCTCTTAAAAATACCAGCCATCACAGGAGGAAAAATCATCCACCCCCTTTTTACAAACACTGTTTTCTAATCCTGTTTTATAGATTTCTAAAGATTTACTGCAGAAAATAAGAGATACTGTTCTTCAGAAAACTGTTGATGGCATGAGGAAAGAAGGTGTCCCCTATTTTGGTATGTACAGAAATTCAGGGGTTTTAAGGATAAGGAGAAAGACAGTTTTTTTACTTTGTCCTCTTTATAGGCCTAACTCACACTGTAAGTTAAGGAAGATAACTTTGATCTATTTGGAAACTGGGTTTAGTATCAGTGGCTTGATTTAAACTTCATTGAAATCAATGGATATCATTTCATTAATGGTGAATAATCATCAAGTGAGGAAGAACAGAAAGGACAACATTTGAAAATGGAAAATTGTAACCACAGCTATTTCTGCCTGGTGTATTTTTAACATTTCTAAAGTGTTAACATCCTACTTTTAAATTAAGACAGGTGGCATCCTTTTTAATTTTATTATTAATAGATTAAAAACAAATTGCCTATGCAGTTCCTTAGATAGCTTTTTATATTATTTTTTATTCCAGGTGTGCTTTATGCTGGATTAATGCTTACTAAAGATGGCCCTAAAGTTCTAGAATTCAACTGCAGATTTGGTGACCCAGAATGTCAGGTGAGCTATTTTGTAGGTAGATATAGTTTGCAGTTATGGGAGGAGAAAGTCTGTTACCATCTACCAATTATTCTTAACTAGCTTTTTGATGAATAATTAGCTATTTGGACTGAGATTTGAAATATTTAGTTTGTTTATTCAAGACAAAAGGTCTGTTATTAAATTGTTCCATTCCAGAGAAGATTTCAGCAGGTTATACTCAAACATGGGCTTTACAAGGGTAAAGCTTGAGTGAAACTCAGCACTTTCCTATCTTTTCTAGAATGGAGTTGGATTTTTTTTTTTTACTTTATTAAAGAAGTGAACGTTTCTCCCCACTCCCTGTTGACAAGTGAACAAAACCCTTCATTTCCATTCTTCGGAACAAATAGAGTTCTTTGGCCTCTACCTTTTCCCTTCCATATGTAGCAGTTCTTTTACCCGTAGAAATTATCTTCAAAGAAGAGTATTTTTAGAGGTCCATAGATTATGCACAGTATGTATATATGTGTGAAAATACAGTATATGAACATCCTTAATTAATGTTATTTTTACAGTTGCATTAGTATTTTTAAAAGCTCAGTGAAGACAATGCAGCAATGTGCATTTTTTTCTTTAATTTGCTAATCTGTATTTTTGTAGGTAATTCTTCCACTGTTGAAAAGTGATTTGTATGAAGTTATGCAAGCGGTTGTCAATAAAAAGTTGTCTAGTTCCATGCCAGTTTGGTTTGAAGACAGTGCAGCTGTGACGGTGGTTATGGCTAGTGAAGGGTATCCAGGAACATATCCCAAGGGTTTGGAAATAACAGGTAAATATAGCAGGAGAAACTGCAGAAGTTTGATTCCTCTCCTGCCCTCTCTCCATTCTCTCTTTTGCCAAATGAAGGTGAGTCAGTGTAACTCAGATTCATATAAACTGTAGATCTTGTGGTTATAGGTCAGCAAGAGACAACTGAATTTTCACACATCAAAGTTTATTGGTAATGCATCCATAGCATTTTCAAATCTCCGCACTATGTTGTTAAGTTCTGTAGCATTTCTCATATTAATATGTTACTGATTCTTAACATAATGTTGATGCCGATATGTTTTGTGGTCTCTATGTCAGTGAAGTATAAAACTGAGCTGGAATTAAATGGTGTATGCAGATGTTTCAGCAAAATACCTCTTTCTGTGCCTCTGAGCATAAAAGTAGCAGACTTGTCTCTCCTCAAAATGTAGTTTATACAACTTTATTCCTATTTCCCAGCATGATCACACTGAATTCAATTGTGGTTTCTAGACACAATCAGTAAGTGTTGAATATCTTTTCATGTGTAATTTTATAGAGAATGTTCTAATCAACTGATTTTTCTGCATTTCTTTTATTGAACAACAATCACAGGACTTCCTAAGGCTAAGCAACTAGGACTGGAGGTGTTCCATGCAGGCACGTCCCTAAAGGATGGCAAAGTGGTGACTAGTGGTGGAAGAGTCCTTACAGTAACTGCTATTAAAGAGGATCTAATGACAGCACTGCAAGAAGCCAACAAGGGAGCAGCAACCATACACTTCAAGGGTGCCATTTATAGAAAGGACATTGGTTATCGGGCTATAGCTTTCCTGAGACAATCCAGGTAGATATTTGAAATACTTAAAATGGAAATAACTGGTGTAAAAGGGACTTGAAGACATCACTAGTTTACATTAATAAACTAATGTTGATTTTATGCATAGCTCTAGACAAGTTTTAACTAGCATCCTTGTGAGCAATCTAAGCAAGACCAGCCAAGGAAGGAACAGGCTTTTTGATGGCTCTCTCATCCATGGTCTTATTCTCCTAAGTCTGAGTTAAACTACAGTGACCAGCATACAAGAGTAACTTGTGGTGTTGCTGTTGTTGTTATGTCTATTTTAGGGACAGTGAACTCCTGGTTCTTAGGCTCTAAACCGTAGTTTTTGCTCTAGATTTGTGTTGTCCATAAGTCTAATATTAATGTCATTAAATGTATGTATGAACAAAGTTTGAGCTATTTTATTGGTTCATTTTAGAGTCTTTAGAAATGGTTCATCACAGAATCACAGAATCACAGAATGTTAGGGATTGGAAGGGACCTCAAAAGATCATCTAGTCCAATCCCCCTGCCAGAGCAGGAACCTAAACAAAATTACACAGGAAGGCGTCCAGGCGGGTCTTGAATGTCTCCAGAGAAGGAGACTCCACAACCTCCCTGGGCAGCCTGTTCCAGTGCTCCGTCACCCTCGTCAAGTGGTCTTGAAACACTTAAGTCATTGGGATATGCATTTTAATGGAATAGCTGGCTAACAACAGGGGTAGAATCTATCCCTCCTTTTTATTATTATTATTATTCCTTTTATTTTCACAGCATTCAGTTTAATAATCTTGAGATGGTGTGGGTGCAGGGATTTTTAAAGCAGTGTGTGCTACTGTCTCTCTAATGTTACTGAGAGCTTCTTGCAGGTTTTTAGACTCATGTAAGCATGTCAGCCTGCCTAGTCTTTAATTATCTCAAAACATAACTTTTGATAATAGGTTATGTTGTAGTCTATGAAGCAAATTAGTAAGAGTTTCATTTTTGCTGACAGCTTATACCAATTAGTAGATTGTAAAATTGTGATCAATAAACTTACTAAATGAGCAAGGGCGTTTGTATCTAGTCTTATTTCTCTCTCAAATACTGTGCATCTTTTGAGAAATTTATGTGAAAACGTGTATTTGGTATTCATATTGTAGAAAAAAACCAAGTCCCTGTGTGAGGCAAGAGAAGAAGGCACTTTAATGAACAGTTCTCTAAATCACTGAGTTCATGAGCCATGACCAGCAAGGTTCTTGTCTGGAGTGCTTGTATGCTGGGAGGATCCCTAGCTTGTGAAGGAGACTTCTGGAAAAAGGTGTACAATCAGTGCCTGTTTCACTGTCCTTGAGTCTGCACCAGCTTTTGCTTAGACATCCTAAAATTGGAAGAACAGAGATTCAGGCACGCTTCACTTTGCACTCTGTTGCACACAGTTAAGGAAGGGTGATGGTTGGCTCAGTAAAGTCAGGGACGTGCCTCCTCCTGGCAGCCTTGCAGGATTAAGTCCTACGTGTTTCACTTTGTGAAAATATCCAGAATATTTATTTAATGAAAAATATTTTGGAACAATATTCTCCTTTTAAAGAGTCAAAGTAGATACCATGCTTTTAAAAATAAGGTGAAAATATGTTGAATATTCATTATGTTAAGACTGAAAAAGGGCCTGACTGGTCTCATGTTATTGCAGGCTAATATTTCCTTGACTTTTACTCACAGACTGAACAGCTGCTTCTTGTAATTATTTTCCTCTTGCAAATTTTTGAGCAATGATATAGTGTGAGTGCAGATATCTTTGTATTTTCCTGGTACCAGAGTTCTTTGACCAGTTGTTCTATTGTACATGTCCTTGTTAATGAATATTGTGTTTTACCCTTAGAATTTAAACTCAATACTGAATCACATCAATAAGAGAGCTAAAATAGGAACCTAAAAGAGGATTGCACCAGGTAGCCTGGTTCATGCCACTGATAGTGTAGAAATAAAAATTGCTTAACTGGAGTGAGATATGTTAGGTACAACTAGTAATTAAAAGTAATTAAACTCACTATCTCTCCAAAATGAAAAGGTCTCTCTGTAAATATGATGCTTAATGTCTCCAGTCAGTCCTATGGACAGACAAGTTACATACACCAGTTTGTAGTAAAGAGTATTTTCTGTATCGTATGGCTGGATGTAGAAGAAAAACCCAGAGCTTATGGACATTTCTTTTTAGATTGCTAAAATGGACCTTAGTAACTTAGTTATTTTTAAATAAACTTTAAAACATATACTTTAATAGAAAGTCTATTTAAGTAAAAAAGAAATGTGGTTGGTTTTGTGGTGCTATCATTCCAGGTGATAAGGAGAGGCAGCCTTTAAGCTACAGCTGTAAAGCTCTCCAAGTATCAGGGAGGACTGCTGATTTCTGTGATACTTGTGTTTTGTAAAGCTAACTTGAGCTTGATCCTGCAAGGTGCTGAGGTGCTCTGATTTAGCAGTGCATTTTTGTATACGTTTTGTTTTGAGCATAGAAACTGTACTACTGATGTCTCAGTATCCTGACCAGGTATTCAAACCTTGCAAAATCAGATCCATTATTCCACCTATTTTACCTTGTCGTTGGATTTTCTTTTTTGGTTGATTTTTATCTTGGTATTTGACTGGATAGCATATGGTGCTGATGCTCTGATGCTGTCTTCCAGTTATCTGCAACTATTTGAATATTACTTATGGCAAAATCTGTGGTGCAAATCTGTGAAGTTTTGTTTCTTTGGTAATACTCCCTATCTTCAAGTATATATGTGAGGTCAGGTTCCAAACAGCAAAAAGATTAACCTTTGAGCCATTGAGCCTGCCTGAAATGAATACTGCAGTACTTAGAAATCATTTTATATGAGCAAAGTTACTGTACAAGCAGGAAAGTAGTTGTACTTGACAGTGGAATAGGATTCTGAATGGTTAATCCTTTTAGTGTTGCAATGATTTAAAGAAGTAAATATTATTTTAAAATCTATGTTTGTACATTTGGTAATCAATTACCATAACATTTTTTAACAATCTTTCAGAGGCCTGACTTACAAAAACAGTGGAGTAGACATTGCAGCAGGAAATACTTTGGTTCAGAAAATTAAACCCCTAGCTGCAGCCACATCAAGGTCAGGTAAGACTTGTACCTTCTGTTCCTGTTTCAGTCAGTTCATGGCAATGAGGATTATCATTTGATCTTGATCTTGATACAGAAGCTCATATTTATGTGTTCTGCCTGTTTCTAGATTACACAAGAAATATCTGTGGTGAGCAAATACCTGTGATTTCTTAAAAATGTACTTCATTAAATTTACAGATTTTCTTCTCAAAATGACTCTAAACTATATCTCCTGAATGTCATGTGTGGTGAGGATGCTAGAGAATACAGTTCAGCCCTCTAAAAGGTTAAATGCAAGCAAAAATCCTACCATTTAGTGCTATTTTTGCTTCCCTGGATTATTATTTCTTGCACAGGGAACGATACAATTTTTGTAGATAAATGTTTAGAAAGGTGTACAAGATGTAGAAATCCTCAGAGATGCTGTCTGTCACTTGAGATAGATATGGAAGACACATCTTTTGCTTGGTTAGAACAGAATCAATTTGTCCTTTTTTTGCTGGGATCTCAGGCACGTCGTGCTCTTCCTTGTAATTTATTTGATAGATTTAAAATATCAGTTATCTATATAATAACCCTTTAACTTCAGATTAACTGAGAACCTTCAGGCAACATCAGATATACATAGACAGAAAACTATATAGACACACACACACATGTACATCTAGTCACTTCTTAGCCTTCACAGTATTTTCTACTTGTGTTTGTTTCACTCTTAGATTTAACCAGTTCTAGTTTTAAGCTTACCATACTTACCTATCACAAGCAGTCTTAGGAACAAGGAGTCTTAATATACTCCAAGTAGCAGTATTAACAAAGATATGAGGAATTTCAGTTGGAAAATGCCTAGTTATCATCTTTTTCCAGAAAGCAGTGGGCTTCAATCTGCTACCACAATTCCTTTACTGTTTTCAGAAAAATACTAAGTGCAAGGGGGAAATATATCAGTCACAGTAATTATTGAGTGTTCACTCACAAAGTTTTGGATTTTTAGCCTTAGGTAATAATGAAGAAGTAAGACAAAACAAACTTAAGAGGATTAGGAGCACACATGCCTCTGTGAAGAGGCTCTAAATGTCAGAGAAAAGTTTCCTGGTGACAAAGCAAAGTCATGTTGACAGATACCAGAGAGAATTTGTGTTGGAGATCCTGGAGAAACCCATGACAGTAAAAGTTTACTGTTTTTTCCTGTTTTCTGGCTTGCAGGCTGCAATGCGGAACTGGGAGGCTTTGCTGGCCTCTTTGATTTGAAAGGAGCTGGTTACAAAGATCCTGTCTTGGTGTCTGGAACTGATGGTGTTGGTACAAAACTCAAGGTAATGTGAAAATCCATGTACAGGAAGGAAAATAGCACAGAAGGGAAAATGCTTAATTACATCATTAATGTTTTAACAGAAAATATCAATTATCTTTTAAAAATACTTATTTGTACTTCTAAAAAGGGAAAGAAAAGTGAAATTGCCTTCCTTTGGGCAAAAGAATTAAATACACGTTTAACTTCTGGCATGTAAATAGCCATACTTGAAATCATGCTTAAAATAACTAATTTTTAATATTAATTGTGTAATCATGGACTCCATTTCATTAAGGTAGAATCTCCACCCTCAAAATGATTACTCATGGGGAAAAACATTTAATTATACGGTTGCTATTGTGTTTATGCAAGCTGCAATGCAACCCATTCCAGTTCAGTCTTCTTCTGTAAAGTGCCTTTTGTACTAATCAATTAAGAAAATAACAATTCCTAAAATAAAATGTTAGGAGAGGCTCACAGAGGTGATAATAACTGAAGCTGCTTCTCAAAAAGCATCTAAGAGGAACAGCAGGATTTTGATCCCCTTCTTCCATTGCAGGCTCTCTACTTGTGTTTCAGTTTCTCAAAGCTAACCAACGGGTTCTCTCGCTGTGTTTTGCAGATTGCACAAGTCTGTAAGAGACATGACACCATAGGTCAGGACCTGGTTGCTATGTGTGTTAATGACATCTTGGCTCAAGGAGCGGAGCCCCTCTTCTTCCTTGACTATTTTGCCTGTGGCAAACTTGACATTGAAGTGGCTCAGGGTGTCATTGCAGGAATAGCTGAAGCTTGCAAAAAGGCAGGATGTGCTCTTTTGGGTATGAACACTCTTTGAAGGATATGAAAAATCTTATGCAGTTTCTTTCTGATTGATTTTGATGTGTTTGTTTTCCCACTTCATTGAAGAATCTTAGAGGAGTGAAAAAAAAACAAAGTGTCATGTATCTTTGCTTTCAGGGAACATAATCTCTACCCACTGGAAGGAGACAATACTCTACAAATGGTGCCATTAGCTCAGGAAGTTGCATATAAATTTTCTTATTTGTATCTTTTCATTTAACTTTTTAGCTGTAACAGCTACTTAGAAAACTAACAATTCATGTATTTTAATTCTTTGTATTTTTCAAGTAAATTTAAAAACATGCCAAATAATAATTTGTTTATTTTTATCCTAAAGGAAATCCTCAAGTTTTCCTCTAGAAACAAAATATCCTATGAACCTCTTGACGGATTTTAACTGAATCTGATAGGAAAGGTAGAGATCTCACAGCTGTTGTGTTGCAACAAGCTGCATAAAACTAGAATGCAGAGAATGTTCTTATGAATGCAACAAAAGCTTCAGCTGGAGCTCACTGCTTAAGACACAGAAATTAACCACAGGACAGAAACATAGAAGAAACCAGGTTTCATTAGTTACAAAACCAATAGCGAAACTCTTTGTCTACTGAAGACTTGCTGAAGATTTATTTCAGCAAGATCTGCACGTTCCAAGATGTTAAGACTCAAATTTAAACATTTTCCTTTTCAGCTCTGTAATACAAGTACATAATACCTCTAACTAACAAATTCTGTATGCATTATGGTATGCAATAATCTAGTTATCCATGAAAGTTATACAATATTTAACTTCTCAAATCTTAAAAAATACAGCTTTAAAGCTGTTCAACACAATAAAAATATTTCTAGGTCAGTGAAAAATACATTATTTTCTGTAAGTGTTTAGTTTATAAATGGAGTACAACACAGGGTTCAATTTTACAGCAGTGGAACCCAGAAAATTCTGGGGTTTTACATAGTTTTTTTTTTCTTTTTTTAATAAAAACGGACATGGAGAATTACAATGATTTTTTTAAAAAGACCTTTTATTAGAGATTAAAAATGACAGTTCACATGTCTTACTTTAGGTACCGCTTTATAATTGTTAACACTGTAGCTCTTTCCTTTTTCCCAATGATTTTCTTAGTGGGAGTGTGTCATTTTGAGGTAGTTTACAAACTTTGAACAAGAGGCTATTTGTGTTCTGGTTTATTTTTTCCTGCATGAACTGTTAAGTCAGCTTTATATTTGTCTTAAGATGTTCTCTCATTTTATCAAATATAATCAAGCCATTCATACTTCAGCGTAAGTACATGTTATATGAAATCTTGTTGTGAAATCATGTAATTAATTTCAAGATCTTGAAATTTCAAGATTTTATTTCCAATTGGAAGACTTCAAAACTACAGAGGGCTTTGGATGTTGTAAATTAATTACCAGAGAATAATTTATCAAAATTGTGAATAGGTTAGTAAATATCTTTTTGTGCTAATATAGAAATAAATCCAAACTCATAAATAAAGCAACCATGATTTCTTCCCCAAATTCATGGCACCCTGAGAAAAGAAGGAACAGAGGTGATGCAGTAACTCCGAACCTAAGGAGGAAATGCTTTTCTGTAGCCTGGATCATCAAAATAAACTTCAGTTTGGGCTCCAATGTCACACATTTATTTCACTGTGCATTCACATAGCATGTAAATCTGTCTTGGTATAGTATCATCTCGTTAAAGTCTCATCTGAAGCACGTTCCTAAATTCCTACCTTGCATTTCTGCAGTAGCTGAATATTCAACTCAACCACCTTAAGCTCATCACACCACTTGACAGCAACGTACTGAAGGGCTCAGCTACATGCTTGATTTTGCACAAACACTATTAAATACAGATTTAAACTAATGTATCTAAGCAATGAACTTTGATTTTAAAGTTGATTATAGTGATGCAATATAGAAACCTGGAAAAGCTTCCAGAGAATCTAGTAGTGAGCAGTGTCAAGCGCTGAGCACAAAAGTAGCTTCCACCATCACGCAGGTAAATTTAACGCCCCTGGAAACGGAAGAATTTTGTATTGAATGAAACCTGGTGAGTGTAAAAGAAAAACTAGACATTACTGGTCAGCATGTTGAGCAGAGTTCATAATAGAATGGCAACTTAATCGTTGTCCAGTTGTTTCCTTGTAGCCATCATGACCGATAGCTGGGCAGAGCTTCTTACCAGTATGAGGGGATAGCGTCAAGATACCTGCTTGGAAAACTTTGGAGCGAGCAGTAAATGCTCATTTCATGTACCAAACACAGCAAATTCCCCTCTCGAGAATGAATGAGACCGTGGCAGGCAGAACACAGGTCTTCAGCAGTGAAGACCATCAGCTTATACCTGAAGGGCAGTGGGGGGGCCAGTATGGTACGTATAGAGAGAGAGAGAATGCTGTCTGAGCAGTGCTGTGCCTTTCTGTGCAAGCTGGGGAAATTACCTTTTCAGACTTCACTCTGAATGAGGTCAGCCAGATAAAACATGGTTTTCAGGACAAAACAAGAGGATGTTCTAACAGTCAGGATATAAGATAATAGCCTAGGCAACAGTTCATCTGCATGGATGGGGAGGAAAGGCCCTCTTTTAGAGGTGTTCTCTCAAAAGAGTCTGTAAACCTTAGATGTTGTGAGTTGGCATGATAATGATGGCCAGGCTGTGGGCAGGAGTAGCAGGCAGGAGAGCACTATATACGAAATATGAAGGCAAGTGAGACTATTAGCTATGTTGTTCCTTTGATGTCCTTGTATGAATTTCTTGTATCTCTTGTATCTTGTAGGTTTTTCATGGAGAACATTAAACTTGGCAGAAATTTGGCAATATGAAGCACTAAATATATACTCTGATGTTAAAATGTGAATGCACAGCAATTTGATTCTGGTTGTCAGAGTGAGGGACGAAGTGTTCTTGCCCAATTTTTTATTGCTTGTTCAATGGAAGGGCCTGTGACAAACGTGTTTTTAATTCTTTTTAATGTTCATTTATCTAAAACCTAGTCTGTTAATGCCTCATGAATTTAAAACTTTGAAAAATTCCATGCCTACTGGTCCAAATGGTTTTTCAACACCTCCTTTCTCTTTTTTTGGTTCCCATAGGAGGAGAAACTGCTGAGATGCCGGGCATGTATCCACCTGGAGAGTATGACCTGGCTGGCTTTGCTGTGGGTGCAGTGGAGCGAGGGCAGATGCTGCCCCAGCTGGAGAGAATTGCTGATGGAGACATGGTTATTGGAGTAGCTTCTTCTGGGGTTCACAGCAATGGGTACAGCCTTGTAAGGAAGATTGTGGAAAAGTCATCCTTCGATTTCTCTTCCCCAGTTGGCGTCTCCGGTGATCAGACATTAGGTACCACTTATAATGTGTTTTTTTGCATTATAACTTGAACTTCTGAACAGGGAAAAGTCAATTGTCTTGTCTGTGCCTTTGCTTTTGTAACTTTTCTAAGGCACTAAAAAAATTATTCCATTCTTGAACATGTTCTTGTCTTCTTTTTTCTCTGAATCATATTTGCAGGAAAGACATTGAGGGGAATAAATAACTAATTGTATGCTAAAAAGGGTAGAACATTGTGTTTTTCTCTAGTACAATGCTCATTAGTATCCAGCAAGTTAATATTTTGAGATTTCCTCAATTTCATTTTGATTAACATTTCTTTCTGTGTCATAACTGGCTTTCTTTTGTCCTCTTTCATCTACAGGAGATCTCTTGTTAACCCCAACTAAGATCTACAGTAAGACTCTGTTGCCTGTCCTTCGCTCAGGCCATGTGAAAGCCTATGCCCACATCACTGGAGGGGGCTTGCTGGAAAACATCCCCAGAGTTCTCCCAGACTCCTTTGGTGTCGTTTTAGGTGAGATAAAAAGAAAAGTTGTAGAAATATCCACATCTTGATATGGGCTGGGGGAAGCTGTGTCCATGGGGCCATGTCCACTGACTTGCACTGTACGAACTAGACTTGCCTGTCTAGAAATAAGTTTGCCTTTTTCTTCATTGTTGCTGAATTTCTCCTTGTGCCTGAAACAGCCAGTCAGAACACTTTGTAGTCTGAAGACTGCTGCTAATTGAGTTCACTTCTCCTGGTGGTGTTTTGGATTGAATTTTTTAGGGAACTCTATCCATACTTGCAAAAAAACCCAACTTTAAAAGCAACCCAAAGTGAACTGTCACAGTTTGCAATAACCTACAAAATTATTACTAATTAAATAACACTCATTAAGCCTTTGATTAGCATTCAGATATGTTTACTAGCTCAAGTACATCCCATGCTATACAACACACCTTAATTAATCCTCACCATAATCTCATCAGGTATGCTAGAAGTAGTATTTAACTTCTGGAGGAGTGTAGTATGGAAAGGTAAATTACTTACTGTAGGTTATGCAGTGTTCTTTGGGTAGTGAATAAAATAAGGGAACTAATATTGAGTTTTGCACTCCAGAACTGCATGTAAATAATTCTTCCACTTGTCACTTGAACAGTGGTCTGCAGTGGACACTAGTATATATAAATAGAGTTAATACCATTTTAAATATAACGTGACGAGAAAGAAACTCAGTGTCTTTGGAGTTCCTTTACAGTGGCTTGTCCAGAAGCATTTTTTGTGCTGCTGTAAATCATCCTTACCTTGTTGGAATTGGGGGCAGTGTGAGACTTTTGTGACAGTTTTTAAGGCTATTGTTCTGGTACGATAGTTTCTCTAGAAGCAGAGTTGTCACCTTCAAGAAGAGGATCTTCCAAAGACTGCCTCAGAGCCCATTTTGAATTACTGATTAACAGATTGCAGTGGTGCAATATGATTAATTTCCTCCCAGAGTGACACTTCTTTCTACTCCCAGGTCTTGTTTAGTAAGGAAGGAAAAAACATCCTGTTTCATGCATGGAAGCTGATTTCACTCCAGCTTATGCTGCTGTGGGATTTTGTGTTTTCCATTCAGATCTTGCCTCTTAATTCTCTAATAATTTTAGTATTTGTCCATTGGTAGTGATTTCCACTCTTCATTTGTATTTTCAATTCTCTTCAGATGCTCTTACCTGGAAGATTCCTGAAATCTTTTGCTGGCTCCATAAAGAAGGGAACCTCTCTGAGGAGGAAATGACTCGAACATTTAATTGTGGGATTGGTGCTGTCTTGGTGGTTCAGAAGGAGCTGGCTCAGCAGGTCCTCAAGGACATACAGAGACACGAGACAGCCTGGCTGATTGGGAAAGTTGTCTCCCTGCAAAAAGGTTATTAGATTTTTTTTTCCTTTTATTTTTTCTTAAAAAAAAAGGCAGATCTAAATTCCTTGGCTGGTGAGTCTCCATGAAGGTTAGCTGAAAATCTCTTAATTTGCACCTCAATGGCTTTTTTGCCAAGGGTATTGAAATGACAGTCTTCACAACTTCAGTCTTAGTTCATAGAACATGTGCTTAGCAAGGTCAGATGTCACCAGAACTATAAATAAATAATGCTAAGTCAAGCAGTGCCACTAACCTCTTTTCATGTGTACTTTTCTCCTCTCTCTGTTTCTTCCTTTATTTACGTGTTGTTGTTGTTTTGTTTTTTTTTTTCTTGTACACGTTCAGGCTCTGCCCGTGTTAAAGTCCATAATATGCTCCGAGCCTTGCAAGCAAATAGGTCACTGTCTGTGCACAGCCATATCCAAGGCAAAATCCAGACAAACAAAGTGAAGGTCGCTGTCCTTATCTCTGGAACAGGTGAGAGTTTATATTCTTTAATACAGTGTAAAACAAACTATTGAAAAAGGAACATCGGCTCGGATTCAGAATCTCTGGAAGTCCTTGCAGTTCTCTGATAGGCTTCTAATGGGTTTTCAGCAACAGGCAGAATAGATTTTGCCCTTGGATTAATTTCAGTCACAAACAGAATGATCTTTAACCTCTGCTGCAGACTGACTAGGAATTGCATCTGCGTTCATTTCATCTACCAACTTCTGCATGTCTCTGGGTTCAAGGAACCACTGCATTGCACTACAGAGACAGCAGCATTATTTCACAAATAGACCAGTATTTCTTCTTGACATATAGGTACTCCTGGGTTTCCAGTATTCTCACTTGCTAAGAAGTACACCATCATTCCAATTCAAAAAATTATAGTTTACTAATTTAATTGCTAGTGAAAGCCCTGTAGCCTCCAGCTGTTGAATTCAGTTCCCAGCAAAATCAATGCAAAAAAGGATTACTGTAAACATCAGTGGGTTTTGTGTTCAATCTCACCCACACTGCTGCTTATTTAAAACCCCTTCTAGCTGTTGACTGTATTTATTCTCCAGGAACGACCTGATATTCATTAATTATTTTTTCACTCATAGGCACAAACCTGGAAGCTCTCATAAACAGCACGAAGAAGCCCACCAGTTTCGCACAAATAGTCCTTGTTGTTTCTAACAAAGCTGGTGTGGAGGGGTTAAGGAAAGCTGAAAGAGCTGGTATTCCTACAAGGGTAAGTCTTTCTCATCTTTTTAAAGTTAGCCATGGTTAGCTCTGACTACAGCAGGAAGGTGCTGTGAGATAATGAGTTTTACTAGGGTAAGAGATGGTTTGACAGGAAGCCTTTAGCTTTTATTTTTTGTTCTGTCATGAACTTGTGCCCTTGGGCAAACTACCTGCCATGGGAAGGAAAACACTTCCTTTTCTCCTTCTCAGAGACGTTACTAGCAATCCTGATGGTTTCGGGAACAGTCATTATATTAAACCAGCACAAAACTTTCACAGTTACAGCTGAAACTTTGCCATTTATTTAACAGCAGCACATTTACACTAAACTAACAAGCTATTTTGTCTGAATTTAATTTTTAAATTACATGCTAAACAGACACCGTAGTTTATCTGAAGGAAATAGAGAAGTCAAACTCAGTGGGACCCTCCACTGACTCCCTGGGCATTGCTTCAGGCTCTCCAGGATTCGTTCAAAGCAAACAGGGTTTCCCTGAGTGTTGTTGGATGCAGTGCTGCATTGCTTTGCCCTTTGTGCAGCCATTTGCATTACAGATGTGAAATGCAACTGTTCTGACTTGGGAGCATTTTACAGTCACTTTTCACTGATAGCTACAGACCCATGGAAGATTTGTGCCCCGTGCAAGCTTTGATATTAACTTGAATAGTAGCAGGATCTGAGTGTTAGTGCTGCTGTCTCTTACTTGGGAGTGTACAAAGATCAGAAGTAAAATATGTCCATGGTATGTAGGTGGAGAACAATCATATGAGGAAAAAAAATACAGCCTTGGAGAGATGATGGTCTTAGTGGTTAAGATGGAGAGCGAGTGGTGAAACAGAGACACTGAGGAGTACGTGCCTTGCCAGTTCATAGCAGAGTTCAGCCTAGTGTTGAGCTGGGCTCTATTTCTAGTGCCCTCTGACACCTTTTCAGTGAACCAGTTCTGGTTTTTCAAAACTACTTTGTGATATTTAAGTGTGCCACTGTGGTAAATCTGGTAGGGATTAACAGGTATTTTGATTTAAAAGGCTGTGGTTGTTTTAAGTTACATAGCACTGCCTTCTTCGTGCTTAAATTAGGGATGTATCCTGGGTGGAAAATACTTAACTCAGTTATATTGACCTGTTGCAGCAGGGGCTGTTTTATCAGTTTGTGACTAGCCTTTCCTTCAAGGTTTTGCAATATAATTTTCAGCAAGGCTCAACTGCTTAAAACAATCAGAGGCCTTAAATTGAGAGAAATCATTCTAAGACTTTAGGTTATATTAATGACCTAGGTTGTTAAATTGTATCCAAATGTTGGGCCCTACAGCTGTGGGCCTAATAAAACCCTTATTTATTCTGATGATTGCTCTGTGTGAACAGGAATAAAGACTGCATGTTTCTCCGTTAGCTGCATGCATTTACGAACTGCTCTTCTTGCTGTTTTGTGCACCCAACTGGAACCACACATGGAGATTTACTTGGGTTTTGTTTATTACTCCAGGGTTCCATTTCATTGTGTTCTTAAGATGTTTAGATTAAATTAACACCATGTCGATATTTTTTTGTCTTTTGGATTATCTCAGGTTATTGACCATAAATTGTATGGAAGTCGCGCTGAGTTTGACAGTGCAGTTGACAAAGTCCTTGATGAATTCTCAGTTGAACTGATCTGTCTGGCTGGATTTATGCGAATACTGTCAGGTCCTTTTGTCAAAAAATGGGAAGGTAAGCACAGAATAGTAGTGTATGCATTAAAAAAAAAAAGTAACTTTATAGCTTAGCCTCATGAAAAAGAAAATGGGAAAAATATAGAAAAGGAGCAATGTTAATTCTGGGTTTGCAGGAAACTAGACTCTTCCTATCTTGTAAGGAAAAGGATGAGAAAGAGAAAGGCAGTATTTTTTCCCCTTCCCTCTATCATTTCCACAGAGGTTTAGGGAAGCCAAAGGCAAATGGAGATCTTGTGGTCTTTAATTTATTAGAAAATATTTTAAAATAAGGCTGTGAAAACTTTAGACCCCTGCAAACATGAGATGCAGGGTAAATTGTTACCTAAGCAGTAAGCATTGGTTGGGGAGAGGTGAGCATCCAGCCACTGAGAATTCCTTCCCCTAACAGATGAGCTGCTTTGGCTGCATATAAAAGTGCAAAACTGGGCAGCGATACACAGTTCCTAGTAACAAGATCTTGCCAGCCTTCTGGTCAGGCGTCCCAGGAGCTGTCTCAATCTGAGGGTGGCACGTTTCACAGCCAGATTCAGCTCTTCCTTGTCCAAAGTGTTCACAGAGGCTCCATTCTGATCAGCTTTTGCAATTTTTCCAGGTCTTTGTTAGAGGCTGATACCACCTCTGCCTACTTCAGTGGTTGTTCTCCCTCCCCCAGCTGTTACATTCCTCTTCTTATCTCTTTCTGTTTCTTTTAGGGAGTCCTGAATCGCACAGAGGCAGCTGCTCTTCTCACTGTTTGCTCTGCTTTGGGTACAGTCACGGTTTCTTAAACTAGTTCTTGCTCATACCAGTCACAGGCTGGCGGGCCTATACATTGCAGATCTCTGCCTATACATTGCAGCTCTCTTTGTTCACATGGTGACTTTGGTGTTACCCTGGGTGTGTCTATGACACAGACCTTTTACACCTGAACGACTTTTCAAAGCTCTCTTTAAAATCAGTGAGG